AAATAAATAAACATTAAAAAAAAAATAAAAGAAATTTAACAGTTGACCAGCTTTCAGACAAGAAATAACTTTTTTTTATTACAGATATTGTCAGTTACCTTTTGATGTTATATATGGTAGTTATTTGGAGATTATATATAATTGAGTGAAAATGACAACTTTAGATATTTCTTAACATCACGACCCAAAGTACCTTGTAATCTGCGTTTTAAAAATTTATTTCCTAGGTGAATACTATAAAAATCACAATGCTTACTACATCTTATAGGTGTTTTTCTTTCCATTTCCCTATCTAAATTTGTTTCTGTTATATAGTGACAGAACTTGTTTTGAAAATTAATCTGTCCCAGTCCTATTCTCATCAGGTGTCTTTTTTTTTTTTTTAATGTCTATTTATTTTTGAGACAGAAAGCACGCACAAGCAGGGGAGGGGCAGAGAACAAGGGAGAGAAAGCTTTCCAAGCAGGCTTCTCGCTGTCAGCACATAACCTGACACGGGGCTCAATCCCACGACCCTGGGATCGTGACCTGAGCCGAAATCAGGAGTTGGAGGCTTAACCGACTCATCACCCAGGTGCCCCCTCATCAGGGGTCTTAACAGCAGTATACCAACGTATACTTTGAGGCTTCTCTGATAGTTCTTAGAGGTAGCAAGGAAGTGTTGAAGTTTCAGCCTGCTCTATGAACAGTTATAGATAGGAATCTTTCAGGACTCCCTAAAAAGTCAGCCTTTGATTGACTTTCACCATAGCTGTGATGCTTTTCTATGAGCCTAAACCACAGTTCCCGGCTCTAATTCAAAGAAGATACAGTTGGGGCACCTGGGTGGCTCAGTCAGTTTAGCGTCTGACTTTGGCTCAGGTCACAATCTCGTGGTTTGTGAGTTCGAGCTCCGTATCAGGCTGTGTGCTGACAACTCAGAGCCTGGAGCCTGCTTCAGATTCTGTGTCTCCCTCTCTCTCTGTCCCTCCCGCACTCATGCTCTGTCTTTCTCTCAAAAATAAATAAACATTAAAAAAATTTTTATTTTAATAAAAGGATACAGTTTATAGGGTTTTTTTTGTTTTGTTTTGTTTTGGTTTATTTTGAGAGAGAGAGATTTAAATTTTTTTTTTTCAACGTTTATTTATTTTTGGGACAGAGAGAGACAGAGCATGAACGGGGGAGGGGCAGAGAGAGAGAGGGAGACACAGAATCGGAAACAGGCTCCAGGCTCTGAGCCATCAGCCCAGAGCCCGACGCGAGGCTCGAACTCCCGGACCGCGAGATCGTGACCTGGCTGAAGTCGGACGCTTAACCGACTGCGCCACCCAGGCGCCCCTTGAGAGAGAGAGATTTAGAGTGCAAGCTGGGGAGGGGCAGAGAGAGAAGGAGAGAGAATTTTAAGCAGGTTCTGCACTGTCAGCACAGAGCCAAATGCAGGGCTCAACCTCATGAACTGTGAGATCATGACCTGAGCCAAAAGAGTTGGACACTTAACTGACTGAGCCACCCAGGTGCCCCAGTTCATAGTGTTTCTAAAACAAAAATGCTTTAAGTAGTCATAAATATAATTGCAAATTATTACAATCTGCACATTTTTCTTTTAAATATTGACACTGAAATCAAACCTTTAGACTTGGAAAGTCCTCGAGAGATCCTCTGGTCCAATTCCTTGGCTCAATGCAGCTAAGTTATCCCAGCTCCTATTTGAGACAACCCAAGGCACACAGAGATAATGGGACCACGAAGTGAGAGAAGGGAGGAAGAGGGTTGTGGTGGTAATTGGTAAAAGAGCTATCATTCATCCATTTATTCAGCACCAATTGTGTGTCTACTGTGTGTCAAGTACTTTTTAGACCTGTGAGTCAGCAGTGAGCAAGCAGATAAAAATCCTGGTGTATTGTAGGTGGGTGGGTGGGGTGGGGAGGATAGATAAGAAACAAAATAAGTAAATACATGTAATATGTTATAGTGCTATACAGAAGTATGAAAGAGGGAAGAGGGTTAGGGTGTATCATGGTTTGGAGGTGGGAGGTGCAGTTTGAGATGAGGTGAACAAGGAAGCTCTCATTGGGGTGACATTAAGCAAAGACTTGAAGAAGATCAGGGAATACCAATGAAGATACGGAGAAGTATGTTTCAGGCAGAAGGATCATCAAATGTAAAGGCCCTGAGGCAACAGAATACCCACTATGGGGAAAAGCAAGGACACCAATGTGGCTGAAATGCAATGAATGAGGTAGAGAGTAGTAGGAAATGAGGGACAAGATTATTGGCCTCATAGGGCAGCATTAAGGACTTTTGGTTTTACTCTAAGTTATCAGAAGGTTTTGACCAGAAAAGAACACTCTGACTGTTGTGTTGAGAGGAGACTGGAGAGGTCACAATGGAGGCAGGAAGACCAGTTAGGATGCTGTTGCAGTAACGTGGGCAAGAGGTGGTAGTGGCTGGAATCAGGGAAGTAATGGCAAACTGAGAAGTGGCCAGATTCAGGATAGATTTCTGAAGACTGACTCAACAGGACTGTGGGAATAAGTGGGGATCTTCAACTATGTTAAACGCAAAGAACTCTGATTATGGAAACTTTAGATATGTTACAAAACTGATAGGCAAGACTTGTCAGTGTGCTCAGTAGTTTACTGATGAATATGAAAGGCGTGCTCTGGACTTTGGGTTAATACTCTTAACCCTGCATATTAAGTGAAATCTCATTGTGCTCGTTTCGGCAGCACATATACTAAAATTAAGTGAAATTTCAGCCTATTTTGAATTCTGTTTACTTCTGTAGCAAATTTTTGTGGTTGATAAATATTCTTTGTAGCTTTTATTTCATATGCATTGTTCTTTGTTCTCAAGTGCCTGTATTTTTCTTCAAGGTAGAAAATGTTGTTAGCCCAAATAAATCGAGATTCTCAGGGAATGACAGAGTTTCCTGGAGGAGGAATGGAGGCTCAACATGTTACCCTGTGCTTGACAGAGGCAGTAACGGTGGCAGGTGAGCAGTTTTGTGTGAAGGGATCATGTGGGTTTGGAAATATCATTTATCTTAAGGGAGAATGAAAACTCACAACACTGTGTTTACTTCCCTCTTCCTTGTTTAGCACACGTGACCAAAACTAAGCCTTTCTTTTCTTGCTGTGGATACTGGGTGCAATAGGGCAGGGAAATCTTTTTTATAAATGCTAGAATAAATCCCATTTGAGTCTTAAGCAATCTGCCTTATGCCTAATTTTCATTAAAAATTTTTTAACTTAAACAGCACATACATGTGATAGTTATCTAAAGAAAATAACTATTTTTTTATAATAGATGGTGACAATTTAGAAAATATGGAAGGTGTAAGCTTGCAAGCAGTAACACTTGCAGATGGTTCTACCGCTTATATACAACACAATTCTAAAGGTATGTGCCTCATATACAGCTCATGGGTTAATACCAGCAATTCATAACCTCAGAGTTCAAACACCTGGCAGCTTACCCCCCTTCCCAGTCCATCCTAAAGATGCCTCGTTGCATATTACCATTGCATATGGTAATTTTTAAATAGTTTCAGGTTAACTTAAATTTGTTTTGATAATTTGGGGACTCCCTTTGAGATTTTTGGAATACACTCTGGGGTGTGAAAATTAGAGGGAAAGTGGGGGAGTGTCCCCAACCTATTTCTAGTAAGACCTTTCTTGCTTTTTTACTTGAGGTTATTATTTATTTAATGTTTTTACAAAACATGCATAGAAGTATAGACGTTTGGTTTTGTTTATATAACATCAACTGTAAATCAGTGTCTCCTTCGCCCCAAGAAATAGCCCAATTCTCAAACTCCTTGTTTTTATGGACACCTACTGAGCACATGCATACATAGTCAAGGGACTTACAGCACCCAGGAATGAGAATGACAACTGGCCTCACATACACTGACATATCTGCCAGTATTCCCAGGTTCAGCTTCTCTGTAGTCAGGGTCACTGTTCCTAAGTGGCTCCAAAAGGTAAATAGAGATTCAGCTCACATAGCTTGCTGTTATGAGCCACTCTTCCTCTTGAACTTATTTAACTGAAAATTGGAGGGGAGGAAGAATGGCTGAGGGAGGATTTTCTGCTTTCTATAGGATCACTGGATGTGTTTTTGAATTGCTTCAGAACATTGAGGGAAGAATCAAGATGAACATGATCTTAAGTAGTGTATGTTTTTATAGTTGATACCATTTTGAAATTGTATAAAGTTTAAAGTTTTTGCTTGTGCTAATTTATTGGCTTAAATCTTTTGTTCCAGATGGAAAACTCATAGATGGCCAGGTCATTCAGTTGGAGGATGGTTCTGCTGCCTATGTTCAACATGTACCCATACCCAAAAGTAGTAAGTATTTGATACTTACTTACCGTCCTGATTCTCATGCTTCAGGATTTGTTACCTCCAGCTGCCTCTTACTGCCTAAACTTGGTTCAGGTCTCTAGTCTTCCTTTTGAAAGGGGAGATCTGTATGTGTGAAAAAGAGGATCTAAAGACCATTTTGACTTCATTGAGACATTCTCTCAAAAATGATACGAAAGACTGGGACGCCTGGGTGGCTCAGTCGGTTGAGTGGCCAGCTTCAGCTCAGGTCATGATCTCACAGCTTGTGGGTTCGAGCCCCGCGTCGGGCTCTGTGCTGACAGCTCAGAGCCTGGAGCCTGGTTTGGATTCTGTGTCTCCTTCTCTGTCTGCCCCTAACCCACTCATATTCTGTGTCTGTCTCTCTCAAAAATAAATAAACGTTAAAAAAAAATGGTACGAAAGAAGTTACTGGACTACGCTCCAGAGATAAATGGACAACAGTCCTAAGTGAATCTTTCTGTCACTTGAACTAATTCCTACATGTCTCTCATTTTCTTCTTTTTTTCCCTTCTTTCAACTCTCCTAATTCTCTAGTATATTTTCCAAAACAAGTGTTCTAATATCTTTTTACTAAGCACTTACTTAGAGCAGCGTTACTGAAAATACTAAACGTTCAAGGACTCATAAAGCATGTATAGGTTTTTATAATGTGTTTAATGGTTTATTGACTCTTGCTGCTGAGTTATCAGAATGTACTTAGAAGACATGAGATCTAAATGTAAGCATTGTTCTTGAGCAGGGGACAGTTTGCGTTTAGAGGATGGTCAAGCAGTGCAGCTAGAAGATGGAACTACAGCATTTATTCACCACACCTCCAAAGGTAAAATAACTTTGGAAATAGGAAGAGAGAAATGGGAGTGTGGGAAAAATAAGACCTGCCTTTACATGCTGAAGTGCTTTCATGTAAAAGAAGATTTGTGTTTGTTCTCTGAAATATGGCAGATTTTGGCACAGTCCAAGGAAAAACTTTCTAGCAATTTGAACTGTCAAGTAACAGGTTGGAATAGAAAACTTTTAATAGAGATTGCTTTTCAAATATGAAATTAAGCATTTGAAAGTTATTGATTTTTTTCCTCTTAAATTTTTTTTTTTTTTAAAGCAAAGTCCTTTGCCTGTCGTGTTGGTCTTTAAAACTAAAGAGCACCATTTGTGTGCACCTGGGTGGCTCAGTCGGTTGAGCATTCCGACTCTTGATTTTGGTGCAGGTCATGATCCCAGCATCATGGGATTGAGCCCTCGTTGGGCTCTGTGCTGAGCATGGAGCCTCCTTAAGGTTCTCTTTCTCCCTCTCTGCCCCTCTCCCATGCTTGCATGCTCTTTCTCTAAAAATAAATACATACATACATACATACATACATACATAAATGAATGAATAAATGAATAAATCTAAATAAAATCTTAAACTTTATTTGAAGCAAATAGGACAGAAGTGTTCATGCTTTATATTAATTTCGTGTAGGGAAGACTAGGGTTTTGAGGTGGAATGCATAGGACTAATGAACACCGCTCTGCAACCAGACTATCCGGGTTCAAATCTGGGTCAGCCGTCTTTTAGCTATGTGACCTTGTTCAGATTATTTAACCTCCCTGTGCTTTAACTTCATCATCTGTAGAATGAGTATTATTATAAGTATCCACATCATAGGGTAGTTGTGAGGACAAAATGTGTGCAAGCATTTGTAAAGCACATAGAACAATATTTGTCACATAGAAAATGCTCAATAAATGTTAGCTATTATTACCTTATAAAATATTTTATAGAATGATATAACACGTTTTAGAAAGACTGTAGTTGTGAAACCAAAGGGAGGAATTTTTTAAAATTTAGGATACTTAAACTTATAAGTAAATTTGTTTAATTAAAGTTGAGAACAAGTAAACTCTGAATTTTTTTCTTTAGCAGTGGGACTTAATCACAGGTTCATTGTAATTGTCTAGATTCATTATTTCACAATGCTGTATATATCTTGGTGTGGCTATTTAGAAGGAAAAAAAAGCTCATGGATCTTGGGGTCATACTGACTTGAGTTTAAATCCTGGTTCCTCTACATACTGATTTTGACTGTTAATTGTTAGTTTTTGAAATTTTCTGGTTCCTAAGAAAAGTGGCTTTACTTCCCCAAACCTCCAGTTTCCCTTTTATGGAATGAGAGTGGTGAATATACCCACCTCTCACAGAACTGTTGTGAGGATTAAACGAAGTCACACATGTTAGGCACGTGGACTGGTGCTCATAGAACTACTCAGTGAAAGTTCATTCTCTCCTTCCTTTAAACATATAACTCTGTCAGACTTCCTTTAATTTAATGCCATTCTCTTCCACTCCCCCAGATAGTTATGACCAGAGCGCATTACAGGCAGTTCAGCTGGAAGACGGCACCACAGCATACATCCACCACGCAGTGCAAGTCCCACAGTCTGATACCATCTTGGCAATTCAGGCTGACGGCACAGTAGCAGGTCTGCACACCGGGGATGCCACGATTGACCCCGACACCATCAGTGCTTTGGAACAGTATGCAGCAAAGGTACAGCATTTTACAATGTCAAGAACATCCCAGATACGGCTTCTTTATTTTTCATTAAAATAAAATTAAAAAGCATACTTTATCAAATAAGAAACTAGCAATTCAAAGTCAAAATCAGATAAACCTCGAGGAGAAGATCAGCATTTATCTTAAAAGAAGTGAAGTGTAGAAAGAACTATTTGAATAAATATAAAAGGAATGAAATAAGAATTTCTAGAAAAGAAATGGTGAGAGGTAACTCACAAAAAGATGTATATTCAAGGATGAGTGCCGCGAAAGAAAAAATAAGGTATAGATGGAACAGCTTATGAATTAAGAAACAGAAATTAGAGATTGGAAAACATGAAGGAAAGTCTCAATTACATTTTACATCAGAAGGGCTGGGTTTTTTTCCCTATATTGAACATATATCTTTCATATGACTAAAAGGGTTCCCCCCCCCCCACTTTTTATAGTAGAAAATTTCAAGCATACACAAAAATAAATGATAATGAATCCCTATGTACTTGTCACCCAACCTAAAGAAATACCAAAATGTAAAACTTCGTTAAGCTTTATTTTATTCCTACAGGTGTCCATTGATGGAAGTGAAAGTGTAGCAGGTACTGGAATAATTGGAGAGAATGAGCAAGAGAAGAAAATGCAGGTATGGAAAGCTACTTTTTTATATAAGAATCTCTTTCCCTTAGCATTTCCAGGCCCTTCTGTGGATGAAAGCAATAGCTAACTCATTGCCTCTCTAGGAAAATCTTTCCGGAGAAAGAGTGTATGTATTAGGCAGTAGCTTTCTTGAACTACCCCAGGTTTCAGGATTCATTATGTGTGGTTGCAGAGTGGCACTAAAGAAATAGAAATATCACAGAAATCCAAATGAAGTTTATGCTCTGGAATCCAAGGCAGTTTTGGAGACCAGATGGTCTTCTGACTGCCCCCACCCATGGTTGTTTGTGGATTCTTTTTCTAGGGCTCCACCTTTTTGGGGACTCACTCACCCTCACTACTTTCTTCTTTGTGTCTTTTTGTTTCTTCCACTCCCATCTGATTCCCTGCATACCCTGTTTTTCAACTTCTGAAGAGAAGGTCCAGCCTAGCTAGTCATCATTGTTCCTACTGAGTAAAACTGTTTATGCTTTTTGTACCAGACTGCTTCCTGGGCCACGGGTTGGCTGACTTTGCTTTAGATGCTCACCCTGGGTCCAGTCATTGGTCATCTCTTATCCAGACAACAGCCCAGAGCAGCAGTGCCTCTAAAAGTTTTGTGGAAAGGTTTTTGTAGGAAGTACAAAGTAGTCACAGATGCTTCCTGGGACATCTACAAGTCAAAAATCCAAAACTTAGATTAATTAAAGCTTCTGTTTTGAATTTTGTGTTTGTGGGGGACATGTTTGGGTTGGGTGTCTTGGAGCTTGTATATAATTAGTGTAGCACATTCTTGCTTTAATGCTGCTCCTTGAGAAAATATCAGCAGTTATCTCTAATATTTTGCTGATTCCTCCCCCATGGTAATTGTTTGCATTCTTTCAGAGTTTTATCATACTTAACTCCTATTCTAAAATTATTGCTTCAGGGCCACAATTTTAACTTGAGCATTAGCATCACACTTAATAACATGGAGTGATACTTTTAGGGGTTATCAAGAAGATTTTACATTTATAATAATAGTAAATGATAAAATAACTGAAATCACTGGTAGAAATTTCATGCTTCTAAACATTGCTGAATAGCCAGTATTTCTGTTTATTCTCTGAGATGGTATCATGAAGCGGCAGTAGTATAAATACAGTTTGCAATTCACCAAGCCCATCAGCTTTGCAACTGTGTGATTCTTGGCAAATTTTTCAAGTGTTTGAATTCATAAAATGAGAACTATTTTTTGAACTGCAGGATGTCAAATCCACCTAAGACATACACTACTAAAATGCAAGCGTAGTGTAAATACATTCAAGAGATGTAGGTCAGTGCCTTAGAGTCTATCTCCTATTAGTGACTAACAATTAAGTTTTTAAATAATGGAACATTTTTAAGGAGAGACAGAGCTACACTTGTAGTAAACTAATATAGAATGGGTCTTGTAAAAAATGAGTGAATTTACCACTGGGTTGTGTAACATTATAATATACCATTATCATAAAAGTCTATCTATTGCCAGCAGTAATTAATTTCTGGATCCAAAAACATAACTAGGAATTCGGTATTGCTAAAGCAAAATGTCATAAAAAGCTCTGTTACCGCAGACATATAACCGTTTGGTGTTGGTGGTAATAGACAAAGAAACAGAAGGAAGTTGACTAGGATTTTTTGCAACTGTAGCTTTTTCTCCTTTGCTCTTTGTACCTCTCCCTTACAGACTAGATGTAGGCTGTCCAATATGGTAACCACATGTGGCTGTTGAGCACTTGAAATATGGCCACTCAGAATTAAGATGTGCTGTGAGTGTAAAATACATATACAGCACTTGAAAACTTATTATGAAAAAAAAAAGAATATAAAATATCTCAATAATTTCTCATATTGATTACACATTGAAATGATAATATTTCAGACATACTGGGTTAAATAAAAGAATTGCTAAAATTAATTTCACCTGTTTCTTGTTACTTTTTTAAAATGTTTGTTTATTTATTTTGAGAGAGCAAGAGAGAGTGAGCAAGGGAGGCGCAGAGAGGGAGAGAAAGAAAGTATCCCATGCAGGCTCTGCACTGCCAGCACAGAGCCTGATGCGGGGCTCAAACTCATGTACTGTGAGGTCGTGACCTGAGCCAAAATCAGGGGTCAGACACTTAGCCGACTGAGCCCACCCAGGTGCCCCTCTTTTTATTTTTTAAATGTGGCTGCTAGAAAAAAAAATTTTTTTTTAGTGTTTAATTTTGAGAAAGACAGAGCGTAGTGGGGAAGGGGCAGAGAGAGTGGGTGGGAGACACAGAATCCAAAGCAGGCTCTAGGTCCCGAGCTGTCAGTACAGAGCCAGATGTGGGGCTTGAACCCACAAACTATGAGATCATGACCCGAGCCAAAGCCAGAAGCTCAACCGGCTGGGCCACCCAGATGCCCCAAGAACATTTTTAATTATATATGTGGTTTGCACTTGTGACTCATAATTTCTTTTCATCATCTTAGTGCTGGACCAGAAATTCACGAATCCTTCATCCTTTATTTTTTTTAACGTTTATTTATTTTTGAGAGAGTGTGCACAAACAAGAGGAGAGGCAGAGAAAGGGGGGGAGAGGATCTGAAGTGGGCTCCATGCTGACAGCAGTGAGTCCAATGTGGGGCTTGAACTCATGAACCTTGAGATCATGACTTGAGCTGAAGTCAGACACTCAACGGACTGAGCCACCCAAGTGCCCCAAACCCCCCTCCTTTGATATAGTTTAGTATCATATTTGAGGTTGAGAGCCCAGTACATAGTATTAAAGGGTCAAAATATCCCAAAAGAACCCCTGCAAATAAACAGCACCTGTAACTTCTTGGCTTATCTCTTGGTACTCCTACTTGTGCTAGAATGCTTAAGAACTGTAACTCTGTGCCTGGCTGAACTTTAAAATAAATAATGAACAATAAAAAGTCTGTAGCTAAAGCAGATTTTTTGTAAATAGTCTTGTTTCAAAGCTCTAGACTTTTTTCATTTTGATGCTTATAGTTGAGAACTTTTTCTTCCATCTGTAATATAAACATACTAGTTGTGCTGCTGAGCTGATCTCTTACATGAAACCAAATTTCTTGTCATAAGACAAGAAAGACCTAGAGTTTGAGGTGCTGGGTGGCTCAGTCAGTTATACATCTGACTCTTGATTTCAGCTCAGGTCATGATCTCATGGTTCACGGGATTGAGCCCCAGGTTGGGGCTGTCAGCAGAGAGCTCACTCGAGATTCTCTGTCTCTGCCCCCTTCCTGATCAGGCTCTCTCTCAAAATAAATAAACTTAAAAAAAAAAAAAAAAAAAAGACCTAGAGTATGTAAAGCAGCTGTGCTCATATGGAGGTAGTTTTGTTGCCCCCACCAGGAGACATTTGGCAATGTCTGGAGACAATTTGGGTTGTCACAATTGGGGGAGTATTTTTTTTTTTAATTTATTTATTTTTTTTTAACGTTTATTTATTTTTGAGACAGAGAGAGACAGAGCATGAACAGGGAAGGAGCAGAGAGAGAGGGAGACACAGAATCTGAAACAGGCTCTAGGCTCTGAGCTGTCAGCACAGAGCCCGATGCGGGGCTCGAACTCATGGACCATGAGATGATGACCTGAGCCGAAGTCGGACGCTTAACCGACCAAGCCATCCAGGCGCCCCCACAATTGGGGGAGTATTACTGGCATCTAGTGGGTATATGTCCTGCAAGACATAAAGACAGCCCCCCCAGAAAGAATTACCCTGTTCAAAATATCAGTGGTGCCCAATTTGAAAACCTTGATCCAAAGTACTCTACTTAAGAATGCCAGTGTGTTCATTTGTGAGAACTGTAAGGCTGATGGGGTTAAAGTAGCACACATGTATAATAAAAAATCCAAGTAGAGTTTCTGTTTTGCCACGTAGTAGGTGTGTGACTGAGCAAATTACGTGACTTCTCTAGATCTGAGGTTTTTGGGGTTTTTTTTGATCTGAGATTTCTTATCCGCTAAATGAAAATAACAATAATCTTGCCTTACCCATCTTATGAGATTATGAAAACCAAATAAGATTTTCATTTGATTAGGATTCTAGCTAATATATGAGAACATAATTTGTCAGCGTTATATAGCATTGTTGATGCTTTATGTATTAGAATACTAAGACTTTTTTCGTGAGTGCCATTAGTTTTGACTTCATTTGAAACTAATTTTATTTATATTGGAGATCAAAGTTCTTTGGCTTGGTACTTTTAATCAGAGCTCTAATAGTTGGAGAACACAGAAAGCCAGTCAAGCCAGTTTAGGAAAAAAGAGATATATTATGAGGATACAGCAGAGCTTATAAGAAGCAGAGAACAGGAACTGCTGAACAACTGTGGGGCTTCACAGGAACCAGAATTGCAAAGAAGTCAGGACCGGAGGTTAATCCCACTCCTTTCTCTTCCTCCTCGCCTCCTCCGTGGCATCTCTGCTCCCTTCTTTTCTCTGCAGACAGGCTTCCTTTTTGTATCATTGAGTTTACATGTAGCTCATCACAGCCTTGTTGTCTCAGGCTTCCCACCCAAAGCCAACTCAAGATTTTCCTTTATTTCCTAGGTCATGTTCCAGGGAGGGAAAATTTGTGGGTTTGACTTATCAAAATTAGCTTCACTTTATAAGCTAGGCCACATAGGACATAGACCACTGGCCAGCCTTACATACACCATCTTTTCTGGTTATCAGGGTCTATGGGTGGGGTGGCAGATTCTCCCAGAAAGTAGGCTGGAGAATTACCCCCAAACCTGCCTGTGGATATAGGCAGTTTGAATGTGGATCATATTTCATATGTATTTTCTATACTTTTATCTAACTATGTGATCTTGAGGAAATGAACCTTGCTTTTCTGAGCCTCTTCTTTTCATCTCTAAAAGAAAGGTATTTAATCAGTAGTTATTAATCAGGGACAAACATGAGATTGAGCTACAGAACTTTTAAAAAATAACTCATGACTGGGACGCCTGGGTGGCTCAGTCAGTTGAGCATCCAACTTCAGCTCAGGT